CTTATCCCGCTCTACAAAACCATGATCGCTTCAATCGTCATCAAGGAATACTCCTGCGTGAATAGCATTGTTTTCTTTAATCCAGAAGAGACAGAATCTCTCATCAAATTGGAAAATTTAGGCTATGCAGCTCAGAATCAGATAGCCACGTTGCGGCTTCACTCAGCTACGAAGTATCGGTTTATGTTACCCTTGATGACCTAAACCAATGTCCTAATATATGCTCTTACACAAACCAATGTCCTAAATATATGCTCTTACACAAATGAATGTTTTGGAAGAACAAAAGTGCTCTCCTCGAATCTCAAAGAATTGAGATCGGAGGGCAATCGGGAGATCCCGAAGCCAAACATCTCAGACATTGCACGAAAAAAAAATTATACGCGTCGTTGAATTTTATACCTTGTGCCACGGCCTAGGGCCTGGCACGAATATTTATCTATAAAATAACTTTATTTCTCCATTACGTAAACTTGATTATTTWCACTARTGAAAATAAAACATTCGTGGTATCTCTATATATTGGAGGTAAATAAAAGCTATTTTAAAACATTATTTGTTTTCATATATAATTATATCTTTTCAACACTCGAAGATAAAATTAAATCCRTATCTTCACGCGCTCCTGTAATATCCTCTATTTAGTATCCTGAAACAAGCACCTAATAAGAACGCTTAAAATGAGCAATCGTTTACAGTGAATGTAGAAAATCCTTCCCAAATAGCCACAACCGGACATACCTTAATTGTCTGCTTACATTCCGGTTCTTAAAATACACTTCTCTATTGCTTACCTGTAGCAAAATTCGCCAGACAGACAGCAATGAAGATACCACATTTTACAAACAGAAATGCTCCACACATTTCGACCTCCAAGGGACCTTCAAGAACAAATTTCAGTTGAAAGGAATGTCATTTTCYTAGAATGATCGCCATGCCCATGGGTCCATTATTTCAATTATTTGGCGACTCTCTAGAAACCAATTATTATACACGTGCAGCGTGGATTGATGAGATATAGAGGTTCTTAAATTACCTGCAAAATGAAGTTTGATTTGGATTCTATAATGTCATCAGTCCGGAACGAAGGAGTAACATGAGAAGAACGCGCGTCAGTGTCACAGTGTCACAACGTTATTTCGGTGAGAAGGGGAACATAATCTGGATTAGAGTATAGGGGTCGCTTCAAATTGATATATTTTGAGATATGATAGAACACATTTTATAATAAAATTATCTATAAAATACCTATATTTCCCCATTAGGTAAACTTGACATTCTCACTAGTGAAAATAACATGTTAAAAACATTCGTGGCATCTCTATATACTGGAGGTAAATAAAAGCAACTTTTAAAACATCATTTGCTTTCATATATAATTATATGACAAAAAGAATATTACATGCTCGCTTGGAGATACGATTTTTATCTTCTCATGTTGRAAATCTTCTCGTGTTGAAAATCTTTTCAACACTCGAAGATAAAATCCGTATCTTCGCGCGATCCTGTAATATCCTCTATTTGAGGTCCTGAAACAAGTGCCTAATAATAACGCTTGAAATGAGCAATCTTGATCTTGTTTTAACCATTTTTTCGTTTACAGTGAATGTAGAAAAGTCTTTCGAAATAACCACAACCTGACATACCTTAATTGTCTGCTTACGTCGTTCTTAAAATACAATTCTTTATTGCTTACCTGTTGCAAAATTCGCCAGGCAGAGAGGAGATACTACATTTTACACTAACAGAAACGTTCCACACATTTCGACGGAATTGAAAGAATCTCCTCCAAGGGACCTCCAAGGACCAATTTCAGTTGAAAGGCTAAGGCCGTTTTCTAACAATGATTGGCAGGACCATGGGTCCATTATTTGTCGTCTCCCCAGAGACCAGTTATTATACACGTGCAGCGTGGGTTGATGGGATATAGAGGTTCTTGGACTAGTCTCGTATTTCACAAGAAAAGCTATTTTGGAGCGCGCGCGTCAGTGTCACAGCGTTATCTCGGTAAGAAAGGGAACATAATCTGGATTATAGAGTATTGGGGTCGTTTCAAATTGATATATTTTGATATATTTGATCGCGATTAAGGACGTCCGTTCTAGTAATTGTACAATCGTGTATAGTTCTGGTTGTAATAGAGAGAAGAACGAAAATGACGTAGTTGGTTAACCCGTACACGACGATACTACCCGGCGTGGGGGCCGGGTAGAGGGCCGGGTATCTAGACACTTCGTTGATCATATATCTTACCCTTAAGGTATAGGTCGTCAATGTAGCTGGCTTTGTGTAATGTAGCTAAAGGTGGTTTTAAAAGTTTAGTAAACACTCGAGGGAGCGAAGATGAACCATTCGACAAGCAAATGTATCTATAAAATTCACCGAAAACATAGGTATCTGCGCTGCGAAGGTTTTACGGCTACCGAGTAATATACATCTTTGAGGTGCAGTGAGAACCATAAAAAGAATTCTTTTCATCAATTTTAAGATGGACTGTAATGAGTCCATTTCAAAATGGTGATACGTATAAAACTGATTTAAGAGATTTAATATCAACAAAGATATTGGATACAACTGCACATTGGATAATGTCGGACTCCGCAGGAGGAATTGAACGTGAGGTCTAAAGGTCACATGTGGTACTGAGTCAAACTCATTAGACTAGAGATACTATTTTACTTTCGATAAGATTTCGATATCAGGGAGCAGGTTGGGGTGAAATAAATGTTGGRTTGCGGTAATAGAATAATGTAGAGATATTTATTTATTTCCCCCCGACGTGCTCCCAGTCTGGCCTTGTAGCTCAGCTGGTAGAGCATCGGTAGTACAGCGAGGTCGGAAATTAATTTTCCGAATTTATTCCTAAGGGTCTTTCTCCCGGAATACTCCTTTTTCCAGTTCAAAGCGAACAACCGCTGCTTTAGTTGACAACAGTCTCTCATGAGCAGAGACCTGGRCCAAAAACAAAAGAAAGCACGTAAAAATGTTGTGATTACAATAGGGCTAGGTCTGTATTCACAGAAGGTTCAACGTCTTGCGCCGGCTAAGCCTCGAATCGGAGAAGATTCAAATTTCTAGTATTGTAATGTCAACATTTTTTCGTGCTTTCTTTTGTTCTCTACGCAAGTGAGTCTGTTGTCTATTAAAACAGCGGTCGCTCGCATTGAACTGGAAAAAGGCTTATTGCCTCCTTCTAAGACTATAACTTTCTTTCATTTCTATATCTGTTCTATCATAGTGCCATGTGGTCCTCATATTCATATCTTTAAATTTCGCTAAGCATTTGATTGATATCTTATAGGTTTTTAATTAAAATTGACTTCTCAGACCAATAAAATAAGTGCTTTACAAAATATATAAAAGATGCCTATAACATAATTAAAGTCGCCTTTTTGTTATTGATAAACAAAGTTTCTTTTTGTTCTAACTAAAATCTTTGCCCACACAAGACACATCTAAAGCTACAATCTTGGACAAAATAGTTGAGAAACTTTAATCAAATTTTGACCAAAAACACGATGGTAATCATTGTTTTCAGTACAACGTTGTCTTTCTTCTCCCCCTACTTCCTCCCCCCCCCCCCAAAAAAAAAAAAATGTTGTAGGATAAAGGCAAGCATGTCCCATCTCCAGATTACAACATTGATTAGAGGGGGGTGGGGAGAGTCAAGAAAATGACAAATGTAGTTGCAGAAATGGCTWTTTTTTGCGGCATTAAAATAATTCTCAACTCTTTTTGTCCAAGATTGTATTTTAGCGTTTTTTGTAAATAACTCCATAAAATAACGTGCTATTTAAAAAAAACTTTCCGTGTAACAGAGAATGGGGAGACGAACTAATTAAGTTAAAAATTGCTTCTAAACAACTTAAAATGTATTGTGACACATGACCATTTAGAATACTTCTGTGTCTTCTGTGTGCAAAGTGACGAAGGCATTGGAAGAAGGTTTGAAAGCATACACAAAAGTTGTACGATTTTTCTGCTCGTATTACCGTACCTTAACTGCTGGTAAACTTCGAATTAGTATTTATTCCTACTATAAAAAATATTTGCAATCCACAATCCAATTTGTTGAAACAAACAATGAAGAAATACAAAACAAAATGATAGAGTTTTTCAGGTTGTGGCATGGATCACAACGGTGCAAGTGGGCAGGAGGTCAATCGCTCCTTCGTATTGTTACATCGTTATTAAGATAAAGTATTGATGTTTATAGAGTGCAAACGCAAAAAATATGAAAAACACAAACAGGGCCGTGTACTATACTGTGTACCTGAAATCTCAAGATTTGGAATCGTATCCAACGGTCTCGAAATTGAAACGTAACATTTTTCAGTGTGTTCACAAAAAGTGGTTGATATGTGCATAAAAAGATTTATTTATTTATTTATTTTTTAGTTCCGCATTCGGAAAAATATATTTAAAATGTACTGCACTTTCACACTTTTAGTGTTTGCACTCTAATCTTGTAATCGAATGTAAAGCTCCTGTGCAAAAACTTAACGAAATCAAGTTATATATGGCTGGATAGCCATACTCAATAAGACTAGTCCGGTGGTTTAAAATCACATTCACTGGTTTGCAGTAAAAAATTGCAGTAAAAAATTGCAGTAAAAAATTGCAGTAAGATGGTTCTGATGCTCTTTTAATTAGACATTGGGATCGTTAGTCCCTTGCTTTTATCTTCCTCCTGCAAATATTAAAAAGGTTTTCGTTAACACTGACTTATTACTGACTTACAAGTCATACTTGATATGCATACAAAAGACCAACCCCACCCCCTCCCCCACCAATTGGAAATCAGTACTTCCTGCACTTCTCCAAATTTTGCCATTCATTTTAAAGCAGAGTGCTTTTTTGCCACTTTTTTTCTTCGTTGTGAAATTCTTTGAACTGTAAAATCGACACTATTTACCAGGACGTTCGTACGAGCGATTTTAGGGCTATGGCTTACTATTTCGGTATTTCGATTCTAGACGCATAGGTCGAATTCGACCTARATTTSAAGGGACAGTCGSGAAAGAGTTCATAATTCAAATGATCAAACATTTACCATTTATAATGAAAGCAATGCTTACCGTTTTGACTATACGGCAAGAACTACAATGACTACGGCCACTAAATTTGCTGCAACTGAAATACCAGCAATAGTTCCATCGTTTAAGACTGTAGGCTCTGTTAAATAAAAAAATAGAATCAATTTATAAATAATATTATTAATAAGAGAAGCATCTAGTTTACTATAGTTGACCTTTAAATACTTCCGGTTCCGAAATTTCGAATTCTTAACTTTCGGTGGTCCAAACGTGACATAATACACAGATAGATAGATAGATTGACGAAAAGGTAAAACTAAAGTCGAGCTGTCTACGGCTAGCTCAACTAATAGTTCTTTTTAAAAGAAACAAAAATCAAGTAAACATTAGACTTCTCTAATTAGCTCCTTTATCCTAATTTTATGATGATTATCATTTAATTTGTCACTAATTAAATTATGGACAAAGTAATATTGGGTTGGGTGTCATTACGTAACATGAAACAGATATCGCGGTGCGCGCTTGAATAAACAATCAGAATTGAACTGCACATTAATCAATTATAATTAAACTAGTGAAAGGAATTCTACGCTATGATTTACTTTCATATAGAATTATATGATAGTCAGAATATTACATGGTCGCTTGGGGATATGAATTTTATCTTATCGTGTTGAGGTCTTTTGGTCTTTGAGTATCYGCGCAACCATGTAATATTCTATTTTTATTTATTTTATTAGCTTCGCCAAGAATAACATCTGTAAATACATGAGTACATAACATAAATAAATAACATGCAAACACAATGAGAAAGTGGCAGGGACACCGCAACACCCACAACAATATTCTGCCTTTCTCAGTTTCACATAAATAGTGTCTAATTTCTTAAGTCACAGAGTCTATTATATTTTATAATGATCATTTAACAGGAACACTAACCTCCAGTTGTTGTTTCGTCTGAAACAAAAAGAGATGATTAAATATATGTGATATTGATTAGGTCACAGGAAGGATAAACTTAATTTTTTCTACCCCACCCCTCACTAGATCATTTAGTCTGTAAAAAAAAACATCCTATAAAACGTGCATATATAACAGCAATGGAACAATTTATATTAATAAATATTAATATAATTTACCACTTACTTGTGGTTGTTTGTACTGTGGTAGTACTGTCTGTTTTGGCTGTCGAGGTGGAACCTATGTCAAGGTTAATTAATTTTCATGTAAATATTTATTGAAATTACGGTTGTTCCGACGATTTTATAAGAAAAAATTAGACTGCCTGACGTTTAGTCCTCTAAACGTCAGGCTGCCTGACGTTTAGACACTCCGAATATTTAATCAAAACTGAATTTATAAAAAATAACAAATAAAGAATCGAGCGTGAATGAAATAAATGTCTTTTTAAAAAACCACCACTTTTAAATGTACAATCAGTTGCAAGTGAAATGGAACTTTGAAGTCCTGCATAGAGTCAACACACTTATACATGAAACATGAAACATAATTAGAGTAGTAACTATTAGAGTTATATTCATCCGTCTGTGAAATAGGAATTGTACTATTAAATACTATTATCCCTTATTAGCTCCAAAAAGTGTAACTTATGACATGCGACTAACAAAATTAGGCAAAAACGGTTTTGATTTTGCCTTTTGGTAGCCTACTACACCTGACTAGTAGTAATTGTTTCACGACGGATGAACTTTTAGTTACTGACTCATTGTATCTAATAAACAAGTCTACATATGATTCCGGATACTGCATTTATATCCGTAGCGTCTAGGGACTGTTCATGCTTTATGGGGATGGGGGGATGGTAATTGGGAAAAACTGTCGATGAAAACTTTCCTCTCCCATCCAAAATTTAAATTACTATAAACTCATTTGAAAGCATTTAGTTGTTCCACGTCATTTCTCTTATCAAATCATCATTAAAAAAAATTATCCGATTCTTTTGATCGGACAGTTCTCAAAGAAAGTGTGCATAGATTTGAGATGATGGAACTTGGCTTATGATTGTCTTCATCCTCAGACCCACTGTCTGTATTTCAATATCTTCCTCCTCTTCAGCAGAATCAATAATTCTAAAATTTCTTCGATCTTCATCTTCGTCAGAGTTATCATCATTATCAGCTTGGAATACGGATACCTCTGATATCTCACTTGACATGAGTTTCGCAATTGCGCAAATTCAGACTCTCGGACATGCGATTTGCAGCGTTGTGGGCCTTTTTAGTAACTCTTTATTGAACAAATTTAAACGGAATTTAGTACGAAATGTTCACTTGAAACAAAGAAACTTTCACGTTTAAAACTAGCATTTATCAAGAACAATGTGAGTTTACCGTGTGTACATTGGTTCCTAAAAAATATGCAATCATGGACGGACTGGTTTTTGAGAAAACTGCAATGCGAGATTACGAAAGTGCTTGATGTGATTCACTATGACTAACTGGCAAAACTATCGACGTCAAATTCGGCATCTGTTTTCAGTGATCGCCATAATGCCCCAGAATCATGCACTATATTAAAACGTCTGCATACACGTGCTACAATGTTCAGGCAATCTTGCACTTTGAAGAATTGAAAAATATACTCCAATATATCCGAAGGAAGGTCGTACAAGCAATGTCAAAGGTAACAAAAAGGGGATATTACATAGAACAATCTTATCTTAAAATCATGCTCACAAATACATAAACAGTAACGAATCGCACGCCGTCGGAATGGCCAATAATTAGTTACTAACTATGGAATGGCAGAGTAGATGGATGATGACAACGCAACGTCGATAAGGCATATAAGCGAGGCGTTTTTCGATTACATGCTGTGTGTTTGTGGGCTCAAAATTAATAAATTGATTGGTAGAATCATTCAGTCATTGGAGAAATCAAATAATATTTCAATATTTGAGGGATAAGAGAAAAACAACGAAAAAAGAAAGAAGGGCTTAGAAATATGGGGGGTGAAAATTCTCCCTTTTCACCTCCCCTGGATCCGCGCCTGGGCATGGCTAACCTCTCAGCACAATCGTGGTTGGTCCTCGTCACCCATCCGGCGATATTGGTTACTCAGATCGTAACTGGAAAATTTATCGATTTTAGTGACCTTTTGTGAGCCAACCTCAATCAGTCGTTGGCTGACAACGAACCACAACTGTTGGATGTTGGATAGCCGTTTGGTGCTCACTTCCAAGCCAAAGAGGAACGAGGCGTCAGTCAGTCGAGGATATCATCATCGAAGCTTTCTCCATCTACACTCTTGTCCTGACTAATTATTTCTCAGCAAGATGGAAGGACCTCACCTGCTAAAAGTTTCTGATCTTGCGTACTTACGCATGTTCGGTTGTCGCACCTGGCTATCTTACGACCAAGCTTTTCGCGAACATGCTGCAGCCGTTCGCTATAAAGCACCTCATTTTAACCCTTAGACCCCCCCCGAAAATCGATCCAAATTTGTGTCATTATAGGGATTATAAGCACTTTAATGTTCAGCGGCCTTCTTTTAGTTTTCTTGGTTGTTTTTTAGACGTCGCGTTACTTTGTTGTCGTAAAGCTGTTCGCCTATCCCTTTATTCAACTAGACGCATAGCTGCGTGAACGCGGGGTTCTTGTTGATAAAAATCTAGTACTGTAGTGAATCCGAAAGATTAATATTCGGCGTAAATTGTTAAAAGATTTAAATAATTATACAAACTGAAAAGATGTCAACAAATAATAATAATGGCAAAATTAATTCAATAATTATACAAAAGATAAACTCCATAAGTAAATTAAGGGTGATATTTATTGGTACTATGCACTATGCCTGCTGTGCAAAGTAGTGTTTTCGTTCTCTTAGCCGTATTTGATGCACTGCAACATTCGCAAGTGTAAACGAGCTTTACCAAAGAAACTACGAAAGTGTACAACATTGTCGATCTTTTCAGTTTGTATAATTATTTAAATCTTTGGCTGCAAGCCGGGTTCTCACTTTGATAGCAGGGGATAGCAGTCACATGGCAGGCTATAAACACAGTTTTTAAACACAGAGTTTTTTTTATCTTTTCCGCTACTTCCAATCGTCGGTTTGTCCTTGGTAGAATTCTGTTTGTATGGCTTAGATAAGTCCTTTGTAGTTTCAGAGCCTGTATATGCTAGTTCGCGATAAGAAAATTCTCGATACACTACGATCGATAGACAGCAAAATAAACTTCACTATAAGTTTTACGATAAATTCATGGTATCTATCCAAATGCCCTTTCGAAAAACGCTCGACATTTTTTAGTGTGACTATACCGCGAATGGTGTTTTGGATTTGTAAGTGATTTGAGCGTATTTGAAGTTAAAGCCATGTCTTTCRATCRTCTCGTKTACAYTCGMCACYATWAAGATAGCACATGATAACATTCGTACCCAGTGCCTTCTAGTTTGGCCGAGACAATTTGTGAACCAAAGACGACGACGACCATGACGACAAAGACAGCCGAAATGTAAACTCGCGGTTCCTTTCGAACCCCGAGTAATTAGTACTTGGCTACGACAGCTATAGTGGCTTGTCGTATCGTCGAATTTTGATGGAAAATCGCCTTTCCAAATTTCTCTAAGGTGATGCTGTATTAGTCGTATTATGGTGAACTATGGTGTTCGACACAGGAATTGACTGTCGTTTTTATCTTAATTTTACAATCGGCTTTTTGTTAGTTCATATAGAATTCGTATTACCGCATCGCGCTGCGGCAATAATTGGCTTGCCGTATTATTGTATTTTGCTACAGCAATGAGCTTGTCGTATTTTCTTAGTAGTTTGCTACGGCAATTGATTTGTCGTATCAGGCACCGCGGAGCATGGAATCGGGACGGGAAAACTTCGTGGGAGGGGGGGAGGGGTTTGAAATTGCAGACCGTGGCGCTTGCTCTCATTTTACACTTCTGCGCAGCTCCCTAAAAGGTCTTTGAAGCATCCTTGAGCGGCCTTTCGTCAACAGGTTGAAGACGTCGAGCTGACAAAACTAGGTTAGACGTATTTCATTAAAAATCGTAGTTTGTCTTTACATAGTCAATATGCTCAGCGGTGTCATCTTCTTTTAGAAGAATGCTTTCAAATTGCATGTGAGCCTCGAAGCTTGGTTGTTGAAAACTTAATTTGTTATGGGATGTTTAGAAAATGTTATTTTTCTGTAGCTTTCGTCGGTCGCCGACATCATCAGGAGAGTGATTGAAATTTACATCAAAACGCGAATATAAAGTGTACAGAGTCTATTGTGTTGGGTGATGTTAATATAATAGGTTAACACAATAGGTCTTTGAGTTCGCAACGCTCGTCGCGTGAATTTATTTTCGGCTCCTTGTTGCGTATCAGGCCAGCCTCTAAAAGTCTTTGGTTAACTGGATCGCTGTTTCGACCAATGATCTTGATAGAAAACTGCTAAGCGCAGGGCCGGCTTGGCACCGCTGTATGTGCTTGTAGAAGGAGGACGAGTCGGATTTGAGTTGTTCTTTTATTCTGTCGTGGAGAGGCAGTATGGTGCTATACCGATGTAGGTCTCCTCGCATCTTTTACAATCGAGTTTGTACTGTTAAACTACGTCCCCCTGACATTTAGTTAATACAATGTTAATAAGTTAAAAGTAAATATCAGTTTTAAGTGATTGTCAGCAGTTTTATAGTTTGGTC